GTAGCCTAGTGGTTAAAGCGTTGGCTCGTCACGCCGAAGACCCGGGTTCGCATCCCCACATGGGTACAATGTGTGAAGCCCATTTCTGGTGTCCCCGCCGTGATGTTGCTGGAATATTGCTAAAAGCGGCGTAAAACCAAACTCAGTCAGTCAGTTAATCAATCAGGTTTGATTTTACAGACTATCTGGAAGAACCCAACCCACTAAATACCCAATCTCAGTACAGGGTTCAAAATTTTACTGCAACCAGTGTTTACTACTTTGAAACAACACTAAGAATATAAGACAACACCTCAAACCTTAAAGCTATACAAATAACATACATCAACCCTTAAAACTGCACTAATAACCCAATATGCTCAGCTCTTAAACACTAATAACATAACATAACATAACACACATCAACCCTTAAAGCTATGCTAATAACAGAACACACATCAACCCTTAAAGCTATGCTAATAACATAACACACATCAAATCTTAAAGCTACACAAATAACAACAATGATTAGCCCTTAAAGGTGCACTAATAACAAAACGCACCATATCAACCCTTAAAGCTACACTAATAACAAAAAACGATTAGCCCTTAACGGTGCACTAATAACAAAACAAAATCCAACCCTTAAAGCTACACAAATAACATGTAAAAAGAAACGTTAAACTAATTATAGGACGTTTACAACGACAGTGGTTACCAGGAGCTCTGCAAAATGAAGACCAACACCTTTTGCAGATTTCGCGGTCCTCAGATGAAAAAAGAACAACTTTCAAGTAGTATGGTTATGCACAGTCGTGCTCAGGTTTGAATAATCTTTCGTTAATCCTTGTGCTTGGTTTGATGGAAAACTATTTCATTTTCCAAGCAAACATCAGAGATCAGCCACATTTATTTGAGGAATTGCGTGCCAACATGAGACCTTGTGCTCATTTGGGCCTGGATTACCCTGAACTAACATGTGTTAGGCATTATTACCCCGTGCCTGCACGAATCTAAAACATGTGATGTATGTACAGTTCCTTTCTGAAACTGAGTTGTCCCAACGCAGCAGATGTTGCGAGTGGGATTGGTTTCCATATCCGTGCGTGTAGACCACTGCGACTTGGGGCCTTATCACCAATTATATATTTGTGGATTTGGTCGAAATAAGTTTGAATTGTTACTTTGTTTCGTTGTGTCGCTGAGGGTGCATTTAACTCTGCACTTACCAGACAGAGGGAGCAGGACACGCAGACTCGAAATCTAAACGGATCGACTAACTATGATTGGAGTAGCTTCCCTTTGGGCACTACAGCAGGACCGATGGATTGTGGAAACAGTATGTGTTTGCAAATGTAATGTTGCCGATATATAGTCTTCTAAAAAATAGAATATTGAATTTGTTTTTCTTGAGACATTCAATACAAATGCAGTATTATTTATCGAAAGATGTTAGTCACATGTTTGTTAAATTCTGTAGTGCACAGACGCAACCGTTTTAAACCGACTTTTACTTTACATAAGACTGCACGAAAATGTCAGGGGAAATAAGGAAATAGCATGGTGTGACAATGGCTACCAAAGGTAAAACGTCATTCAGCATTATGTCATACGGTTGCCGACTTATTGGAAGTGGCAAAATTGGATTGAAGTGGTAAAATTCCAATCGTAACATCGTCATATGACTTCTTGAAACAGGTGGGTACCAATCTACGGATGCACGCCATTTTACATACACCAGCGAACCATATCGTGTTTACTGGATCGGTATATCTGCTTCATCTCGATTCAGAGAAGTGGTAGACAAAGAGTCACTATCCCTGCATAAAATCGCTTCATCCGTTTTTGGTTTTTGAGAATGATATCGGACCAATGATACCCATAGGGCCGGAATGTGTCGCTGCATTGAGACGTTTACATCGACGACAACGTATGCCTTGTACAACACCGTACAGGCATGGAATCTGAGACACTGGCATAGTCCGGTTCATGGATGAATCACGATATCTTCTCCAGCGCCGCCGTGGAAGACAGCGTGTCTGCCGACATCGACATGAACGGTTTTCACGGAACTGCCATCGACATCGACGTGAACGGTTTGGACGGAATTGTCTTCGACAGGTCGATTCGGAGGAGGAAAAGTGATGGTGGGAGTATACTCGGAGATCTGACTTTGTGGCGGAATCTGACAGTAAATCGGTACATCTACCAAGGCCACTTTCTTCCGGATATCAACCGACAGAGGGAGTTGTTTCAGCGTGACAACACCACACCACAGACAGCCCGTGACACAAGTGACGTACGTATTGTGTGACAAGACAATCGGTAGTGCCATTATGTCTACAAGGCCTGCTGTCCCCATGTGACGTTCCATCAGTGTATCAGTCAAAGCAAATGACACATGCAAATTCAGTAAAAACATTCACAGTTAGCCTATGCGTTTCTTTTTGAAGACTGTGGTTAAGAAGCAATTTATAAATGGTTTAAGTTCGAAAGACTGACTAGTCACCGTCAGAATACATATTAAGGATAGCAGTACATTGTCAGGCAAACTTGCAATGTTTTGGTGATGTTTGTGTCAGATAAGATGTTTCGACGGCACAATTCTAGAATGTTACATGTAATAATTATGTTATATAACGCTTGTGTGTTTGTGAAGGTATACAGCCTGCATTGGGAATATACGTTATGGAAATACAACAGAATCCTTTACAGAAATGTATTATCGCCAGGGAGATTGATAATAAGATGTGCCGTTGAGACTGACATCCAATGATCGAGGGAAAAAATACAAGCGCCTTGAACATGCACTAGTGCGTGGATATGTGCGCTATATAAATATACTATGATGATGATGAATGATGGTGAAATACAACAGATAACCTCTGTATACCACATGTGCCTTTATGTGTGAATGTTGACATGCACGCACACACACACACATGTACGCACACACACACACACACACACAGAGGTAAATGACCCAGTAGTTACACATGCCTACAGGACTCCATGCACTAAGATGCGCCCAATTTACTCTGAACATTTGCCGACATGGCTTCATCACATTCGACTGCACGAAGTATAACAAACATGATTATATGACTCGTATTACCCCCATGTCCTAACACGATGTTATACACACGTGCCTATATGCCATTAACCTGACAGTTGCTGAGCTTTTATCACATCCGAGTAACCCATCATGTATTACTGCTCAAGTACCAATATGCGTCTACTAACATGAACCAACTCCAGGTCTATGTCGTACGAAGCGAATACATCGATCCGGTGGTGGTGTTCACTGATGTCCTGATAATAGCAATGGATTGTCTGTTCTGGATTTCATTATTTAAAGGCCGCCGTGATTAATGTTGTTGAGTGTTGCGCTAAAGAATAAACAAGTGAACATTTAAGTACATGTGTCGTCATACAGATGTCCTCTTGTGAGGATTTAGTGTTATAATTGGACATCTGATGCTGGTCATAACTTGGTTGATTTTACGTCATCGTAGATGAATGCTCATAATATCAATCACTGAAACACTAACACACATATACCCGTATGTAGATTCCAAAGTGATATCAGTTAAACTGGTGTTTTAAATGCGCACTGTCTGAGATGATTGTGTTGACTTTCGTTTTGCAGTTAGGAAAGGATACAGGGCAAGAGAAAGAGTTTAGTGACCATTAAGGTGGGTCAGTGGGTGACCATTTTACCATTGTTCCATTACTTTGACCTCGGAGTGCATAGGAAGTCTTTATACGTTGTACCCATCTTAGGAATCGAACCCGGGAATCAGTGTGACAAAAAAAAGCTTTGAACATCAGGCTAGTATACCGCCAAGATTATAGTGATAACGTTGGTTATGAGTGTGGAAGTGACGTTGAAGAAGGTCGTCAGTGATGAATGAGTTAGTCAGTTCAGTTTATCACCGCTTTAGACATTACCTCAGTTATACCACGGTGCTTTACCGTGACATGGAAGAAGGTATAACACTAGTGCAAATAGCAGCCGTGGACACTTTGGTCAAACCCAAACCTTGTGAAAGCCAGGATCATTATCTGGGATTCAAACCCATAATCTTCGGATCTTGACTGAAGAAGACCCTGAACAACTTATTGCTTCACCTAACACGACGCACATGTCAAGCCGCCTAAATCTTCCTGTGAACCAAGGATCAAACACTCTCTGAAATGAGAGAGTCCTCTTGTGATCAATATTCCCTTAACTGTTGAACGTTAGGGAACGGCATGTTTATCCCGGCTCGCTAATGTCAAACGCCGTCAGTTGTATTACGAGAATGTGTGTGCGTGCTTGTGTACATGGTAAGACGTTCTCTCTTTTGTTGCTACGACCATTGAATTACAACCAGCCAATAACAACCAGCCAATTTTCCAGTGGCACCAGACACCGTAATGCATGCACACTGCAACAAGCGGTACCCATGTTCTCGGTTTCTGTCGAGCTACACTGAAACGATTGTCCCTTTTAATCATTACGTTGGTCAATTTATGGAAATATTTTTGGTGGTTATTTCGATTTTAAGTATGTGCATATTCTATAGTTTGGCACCCTTTGGTAACGGAGTGTGTCTTCGAATTCTAGACACCCTGATTCCGTTAACACCATAGTAAAGCTATGGCGAGAAAGCTAGTGAGTGACTTCAGTTTTACGCCGCTTTTAGAAATATTCCAGCAATATCACGGCGGGGGACACCAGAAATGGACTTCACACATCGTACCCATGTGGGGAATCGAACCCGGGTCTTCGGCGTGCCGAGCGAACGCTTTAACCACCAGGCTACCCAACCGCCCCTTGCGTTAAAGCGAGAAAGTGCTTGCCTCCATATTAAACAATTCAATGTATTTGTCAAGGTGTTAAACCCTTACCACGCTTTACACATGACTGAAACTTGGGCAGTTGTGTGAAACATATTTTCAACCATCGACCGGAACTATAAAGTCACGGTTATGATAGTCACGTTCTCCAAGCCGACAAAAATAACAGATACAGGAGATGACGTCACATGGCTCGATCCGTCTCATAGATGAACTGTTTATTTCATCTTTCAACGTTATCCATACAAGATCCACCAAAAGGACATATATAAACGGCCATTCAAGTGACAGTTAAATCTATATCACATCATTTGAGCCTTTAAACAAAGAACGGTGTGGGTATACTGATATATAAAATAACCACTTCCTCTGGACATCGTCACTTGAATACCCGTTGATCAAGAATACAGAACAATCACAGCATTTGAAACAGAGGCAAAAGAAAGACGTTACCGAACATCAAACTTCAGATTTAAAAGTTTTGCAAACAGAATGGACATTTCACATAAAAATGCAATGCAGAGAGTTTTAAAAAAAATAATTTCGTTCAGTATATAAGCTTCTTTCTGTACCCATGCATTTGTGTCAGCAAATTCTTAGGGTATTTTCCTGTTCAAAACTTTTGAATTCGTCAAAATATCTAGTATTTTTTGTGCATACATCTGGGTAGTGATCGCAGTTGTATGTGGAATATAATCAGCATAACTTGTCTCAACATAGAGCATCATTATGTTAATATTTCGATTACTTTCTTTTTAGTAATCAAGTATTTCAATGATCAAACTAGGAAAGAGAAACCATATTGTAATAACTTTCTCCTTCCTTGTGATTCCAGAATAAAAAGTTGATTAGAGTTATATTGAGAACAGGTTTTCGAATCAAATGGATCCTTCTGGAAACGTTGTTCTTTCTGTATGCCAGTTCCGTTTTGTTGAAAATGTTCACCTCTGGATGTAATAACGTCAAGAAACGAACTCAAAATAGTTCATAAATCTGAAGGTAAATGACATGATAAATGTTGCAACATCAAATAGGTGGCCCCCGCCTCGTGTTGTAATTGTGTCCCCATATCCGTCATTAGCCATCTTTATCCTGTCTTGTCAATGGCGCTTCCTCGGAGAATCCTTTGATCGCTCATTGGAATACCAGCTAGAACACGTGTAGCCATGTTAGAGGCTCTGATATTGTAATAATTGATGATCAAATCAAACGCACATTCTAATTTCCCTTGATGAACCTTTCTGAAAGTTCTCATGCTGGTCGAGTTAGAAAATCAGTCACGGGTATTGTTCAAATCTGACTTTTAAAGTTTGTAAGATTCGGCTTCTCAGGTCGTTAGTGGTGAGGAGTTAAAATGAAAAGGAGTATTGATTTTCAAATTCGTTCCGACTTCAGCTGTTCATAGGCATCATCGTTTTCTTTCAAAAAGTGCACTTGCTTTTGAAACGGACCGAGATTTCGTGACGCTGTGCTGTTGGTTGGCGAGATTCGGGCCCTAGGCAAGACCCTCAGCGGCCAGACGCAGCTTTCTTTGAAGCATCTATAAAAAAAACACCAAAAAATCGTCAATAATATAAAGGTGTAGAAAAGCTATTGTTTCCTATGTAGTCTTAACTGAAATTGATAGAATTAAACATAAAACAATTCTTGTAGGGTCTTTTGTGTGTGAACTAATAAGGATATTCGCGCTTGGTCTCACAACTACTAGGAGCAAGTCAGAGGATCCGCTTTGAGCAGCTGTATCCGTAGATGAATCCGGCCTCTGTTATATAACGCCGTCATAAAAATACATACCAATCAAAGCTCAAACAAAACTCACAATATGGATGAAGCATTTCTTAGATAGAACTGTTAAGGGAATTATTAAAATATTTAATAGCTGAATACATATTGGAATATTTTAGACAACTCTACCACAACATCCTCATGCAAGGACCACACAGACATTCATATACTAAAATGGTTGCCGAGCCCCACGATATACGTGTATAATTGGTTGTACATACATATATGGACCATATATCTCTAAATATATACAAAGGACTCCAACTAGAATCATTATATGTACTATGCTATTTGAATGAGGTTTAGGGAATGCGCCAATTTTCCCATCATTCGAGCTGAATCCATCGGGCTGAGGGGAGACGGTTTGACCGCTGACGAGAACGGTTCCACAGATATGATCACATACAGGACATTTCCTTCGGGGCCATAAGTCTCGATGGCAGCTGACCTTAAGTACGTTGTCTTTGATGTAGATTAATATTCCACGTATACACAAAGAAAACATGAAAGGGTGTTTATGGACCGCTGCCTGTTTGTGCACATTCACAAACTCAGTTGCTAATGAATTGGAAAATAAACCAATGGATATTTTTGCAGATGAATACCAGAAAACAGAAAAGACAATTATTCTGGCAGTGTTTAACAAGGGAACCAAACGTACTCTATAAGGTAAATCAGATACGGGAGAAAGGTGGTTCTATTGGCCACTGTGTGCTTTAACTGATTTCGGGTTCGAATCCCATAGAGGCCCTGGTTGTGATTCTTGATATGTTACCATTACTTTCATGTTTCACTAAACTTGTTAAGCCCACGACCTGCGTCACTTCAGGAGTTCCTCCCACGCCGTGCTATAATTGGAAAGCTTATCAGAGCTATCCCAAATTATTCTCATATACTTTCGTTGCCTTTTTCAGCTACGAGCTGTAGTTCACAGATCATAATTCTGTGATCACATCGAATGTTTCCATTTCAAAAGTACGTATAATCAAATGGTACTACAAACGAAATCTTCTTTTATTCCATACCAACACGGTTAACTCGCCAATCAAAAGGGCCCGCATCCTTCACTAAGAACTCCCTATGACGGCAATGTGATCTAAAAAAACAGTCTCCGCCAACAAAGGCATCTGTAGTATTATCCCAAGTAAATCATCTTAGAACATCAAATAAATACCCCTTTTAGAATCCGCCATGCACTATGGATTCATTTGGCGAGCGCTGTAGTGGGGCCAACCAGCGATGCCCTTCCAATGGGGAATCAAACAAGACACTTCGTCACTAACAACATTAGTGTTAGGCGGAATCACAGATAGGGATCCCTGGGCAAAATTGACATGTAATTATGAAATGCTATGTTACTAATCAGCTCGAGCCATGGTCCAAAACGCCAAACAAGATTAAGCCCTAAGCTGTGTATCTTTGAGACTTAATAAACAGCTTAAGCCATCAGTGAGTATACACATGATTGATGACGGTGTAGAACGTGCTCTGTGTTGTGTTTGACAAACGCGCAATATCCCAAGGAAAAACTAATATTAGTGAGGTTAGTATTCCGTATTATTTGATGGGAGATCAATTATTGGCCACGGGGAGACATGAGCATAGAATTGATTTTGGTCTGAGTGGTGGTTTGCTCTAACGTCTAACGTCAACAATATATAATGTTTAAATGCACGCAAAACAACTGGAATTGATATATGCCAAAGGTGAGTCATTTTTTAAATTCACGTAGACATGCTTTTAACTTTAATGGTCTTAGTGTCAATAAAGAAGACTCATATACACGAGAGAAGGTCCAATTGTACACCCATACCCAAACTTTCTCTGTCATAACGTCAAACGTAATGTAATTGTTCCTGATGGCAGATTTGGAACTTAATACCAAAAGTATAAGCAGTTGAAAACGGTCTACGTTAACCTACATATACATGCATCCTTCGGTGCTACAAATTCCGCCCTTCTTACATGTTCCATTCGCTAAAGAGTTAAGAAGGCCTAAACTGCCCATTATGACTGCTATGTTTCACAATAACGAGGCGAGCTGTCCACATTAAAAGTCCTGGGGATATCCATTACTTGATGCAAGTTTCAGGGATTATAAAAGGGTATTTGTTTAGCCACCGTAAATAGCGCTCTTTTACAGAGTACCCTATGTATGTCTAAAGTACTGCAGTTTAAGTACACTGACGTCCCAACGTTCTCAGTGCGTGTGCAAGTCAAACTCAGAATAATTATAGCAATGTTTAGGAAATCAGGTGTTTCTTACGTTGTTCAAATAATATCCTCTTACTCTCTGTCTGATGAATAGAGAATCTCACTCGAACGTGCTTTGAAATCAAATATATCAACAAGAGTCAATAAAAGTTTCAAACTGCGAGGGTTGTTGATGAGCTTTCAACTTTCATGGACGGTTGTTGAAATATTTGATGTCAAAAGATACGAGGGTGAGATTGTATTTATCGTCCAAATTCACCCTTCATAGTTTCAGTATGTAAACAGTTTCGGTTCTTCAAGTCAAAAAGTTCAGCTAACCAGAGATTAGTCAATTAATTGTGATGTCATGGAGACCGCTGATGCCAAAGGCCTTGAAATACATTGTCATTGAAGCAGTATCTTCAAGGAAATGTTGCTTAATTTCACCCCAGCAAGATCTTTCCAAGAAACAAGTTTTAGATACATATTCCTTATTCACTGTCTACTTGTAAACAATTGATCCCAACTCACTGTCTTCAAACCATTTGATAAGTCACAATGTATACTTGTGATCATAATTCTCTGTCTACTATCTATCTGATAAGCCACAATGTATTACAGTGATCATAACTCTTGTCTACTATCTATCTGACAAGTCACAATGTATAGCAGGGATCAAAACTCTCTGTCTACTATCTGTCTGACAAGTCACAATGTATAAGAGGGATCATACCTCTCTGTCTACTATCTGTCTGATAAGTCACAATGTATAAAAGCGATCATAACTCATTGTCTACTATCTATCTGATAAGTCACAATGTATAACAGTGATCATAACTCTCTGTCTACTATCTGTCTGATAAGTTACCGTGTATAACAGTGATCATAACTCTCTGTCTACTATCTATCTGATAACTCACAATGTATAACAGTGATCATAACTCTGTGTCTACTATCTATTTGATAATGTATAACAGTGATCATAAATTTATGTCTACTATATGAACAGTCAGGTGATATACCATAGATCCTCAATTATCTGTGTCGATAACAGTATCCACTATCTATTTGATAATGACAGTGTATAAATTTATGTCTACTATATGAACAGTGACCATTCTCCTATCTATCTGATCAATCACAATGTATACCAGAGATCCCATTTATGAAAAAGATATGAATCCATAGTGGTATCTCTTTGGTGTTTTCACAATAAGCCTCACGTGTACAAGTTCCTGTTCTCTGCAAGAATAAATTCCATTTAGTCGTAAGCGTTGAAAACACTGAACACTATAAACATAACACTGCTTACATTATGCCAAAGATAGCATTGCATCGTGGGTGTTTTATGAGTACAAATCTGTTCAATAGAAGACGCTTTGTGCGATGTAAACAAATCCATCTTATAACAACGTATACTATCTTTGAACTATTGTTCAGTAGATTAAGTGCATACCCCAGTTTAGATCTCAATGAACTTAGCCTTTAAAAGATACTCAATAATCACTTTCAAAATACCAAAAAAAGAATCAATTGCAAAGTTTACATCAAGGTTTTCGTTCAGCATTGTTGTTTTTTCATATGGCAGACTGTTGACAATCCAACTATAGCCTGCCCTGTTTGTTTAGGTTTCATTGCAGTCTGATTATGTGTCACATTAGCTAGATAAACAGGAACCTTTTAGACCAGTAATGTAGTCAGTGTATGAAACATATACGCTTAAAACCGAATATTGACTTTCCATACTGCTTAACAAATACATAACGGAGTACGAAGGCAACTATCTAATAGAATAGATGATGGCGCCCTGGGGTAGATTAGACAGGAAATGTTTGCTCGTCACAAGCGAATCAAGTTCTGAGTTCGTTTCCCCTAATGGGTTTCTGTGTTTTACATAGTGTTTTGCCCTTCTTGTGATATGACAAGAATGGTGGTAAATATAGTTCAGCCAGTGGACTGACTGCCTGAGTTTAGTTTTACGCCGCTTTTAGCAATATTCCAGCAATATCACGGCGGGGGACACCAGAAATGGGCTTAACACATTGTGCCCATGTGGGGAATCGAACCCGGGTCTTCGGCGTGACGAGCCAACGCTTTAACCACTAGGCTACCCCACCGCCCCTCAGCCAGTGGAAACAAGAATTATAAAGTTACAGATTCGAATTCTACAAAGGCAGAGATGTCGCAAGGGTGATAATTGCACATATCACAGTTTGTCTTTTTACAGTACCCGTCAACACTAGGTATCATACATAAGTGAATGGGTAAGTGGCTATTGAATGGTTTGGTTAAAAGTACGTATACTTTGGACAATATGTCCGTCATATCACTGCGTGCCCCCTGTAAAGTAGTGAGTAAGTATGGTTTTACGCCGCTTTTAGCAATAACCCAGCAATATCACGGGGACACCAGAAATAGGCTTCAGACATTGTACCCATGTGGGGAATCGAACCCGGGTCTTCGGCGTGAGGAGCGAACACTTTAATCACTAGGCCCCTGTAATATAGTGAGTGAGCTGGTTCAACGAAGCATTGCAAAGTATTCCAGTTACTTTACTGAATG